AACAAAGAAAATGGTTGAATCATGGCGAGCAGGGAAAATGGTGGAAAGAAGAGAAGAAAAAAAATGACAGAAAATGAAATTTTGATGAAAATTTCCAATTACACATCGAATCTACATAATCTATTCATTTAAATATTTTCTGTATTAAAATTCAAATGAATTCGGTTGAGGTTAGCAACAGTAAATGTCCATTTTGAATGTTATCACAAGGTTCATTACTAATTAATAAGATGTACTTTAATCATGCAAATTGTCACTTGACTCAGTAAAGGTTTAATCGATTTGTTGCCTGAAAAAGCAGTCAAAATATCGAGTCTCCAAGTTTTATGGAAAGACTAATAAATTGAAGTGAAAATGGAAATTTACTTTTAGCAAAATCGCGATTCGAGTAAAAATTTGTTCATTGATCAGGTTGAAAGATGAAAGAACAAAAGAAATGATCGAATCTTTAATCTCTTATCGATATGAAACATTGAACTTTTGACTGAATTTTTCAAGTTTATTTATCCAATTCAAAGTTGCCATTTACTTTGTTGAGCTCAAAAAAAGGTTGAAATTTTCAGAATCAATTTGAGTGAATTGATTCGAGTGAATCGAGTAAACTCGAGTTCAACATCGAAAGTGGCTCCATTGGAGTAAAACAATTTGCAACTTTCAATTCTGGTTAATTGATTCCTTCAATATTCACCTATTTGTTGTTGATTGTAAAAACAGTTAACCGTCAAAAAAGCAACTCAAACTACGCTAATCAGGTTAGCAAACATGAGCATCAACAACCAGCAGCAGTAGTAACAAGATAGTAAAAAAATCAACAACAATAACAGTTGAAAAGAGTTGATAAATAGGGTTGGAGCAAGTTGATTACTGTTGATAATCACGCAAGAATCAAACATAATCTGGTTAACAGATAAATAAACTTGTTTCAAAATGAAAAAAAATGTGTAAAACATACATAAATGAAAGAGTAATTTAAATAATGTTGATAATGATAACCATGAAAAGTTAATTAAATAGTTTGATTGTTGTAAGTTGAATTTTTTCTTCTTCTTCTTCATTGAATTAATTTGCATTTCAATTCTTATTCATCCCTTTTCTTCATGTGACAATTTCATTTCATTTTTTTCTCTCCACTTTCTGGTCAACATTTTGTTTACGTTTCATCCTTTCAAGTTGAATACAATTGTAAACACATTGACCATAACCAAAACCCTTATCAGGGTTAAAGTTGATCATTTGCCGTTTTTTATGTCAATCATGAAAATTGAAGGAGGACCTGCAAAATCGCCTGTTCTTGATTTTTTTTGAAATGGTACTTTTCAGACACAAAATTCAATGCCAATTTCATAAATCAAATCCATTTTTTTATATCATGCAATGTTTTTGAGATATCGGCCAAAATATCTAAATATCACATAGTATTAGTGACCTTTTAAACATAACGAAGATGCCGTCTAAGCCAGCTAAATTTTGACATAATCAATGTAATCGAGCATGCTGAATAATATGGTGATGGTTTGGTTCCTGAAAAAATAGCCAAACAGGGTTAAAATTGTAAAAAACTGAATTTGAACAGGGATTGATGAGCGTATTTTTGAAAATAATGGAAAAGCCGTCTAAACCAGCTAATTCTTGGCAAAATAAATGCAATCAAGCATGCTGAATAATATGGTGATGGTTTTATTCCTGAAAAAATAGCCAAACAGGGTGTTGCATTGACATTTGTAAAATTTAACGAAATCCAGTTTTCTGCAATTTTCAATCTGTTTGGCTATTTTTTCAAAGCTGCAACCACCATTAGATTATTAAGCATACTCAATTACACTACTTTTGCCAAGAATTAGCTGGCTTAGACGGCTTCGCCATTATTTTCAAAAAGACGCTCATTAATCCCTGTTCAAATTCAGTTTTTTACAATTTTAACCCTGTTTGGCTATTTTTTCAGGAACCAAACCATCACCATATTATTCAGCATGCTCGATTACATTGATTATGTCAAAATTTAGCTGGCTTAGACGGCATCTTCGTTATGTTTAAAAGGTCACTAATAAATCGATATTTTAATCTGTTTTTTTGCAATTTTGACCCTGTTTGGCGATTTTCTCAGTGGCGAAACCTTCACTATATTATTCAGTACCCTTGATAACATAAACCACGAATAGAATCAACTGGCTTAGCGACCTCTTTTAACGAGCTAAAAAATGCAACCTTCGAATCATAATATGAACTTTCTTTTCGAATGCGTTGTCTTAGCAAAAAAAGAAACAGATATTCGGAATCAGCATAAAAAATTACATTGAAAAAAGTTCATTTCATAAAAATATCCTAATAGGAGATTTTCCCTATCCATTTGCAGGTCCTCCTTTCTTCAAGTTAACCTGAATTTTTACTCAACCAAAATGATCAAAATATTGTTACATTGTTTAAATTGATTGTAAAATAGTTTTTTTTCTTGTTTCTCTTTTTTTCTGATTTCTGCTTATGATGGGAAAATGATTTTATTATTTATTACAAATGATAGTAATAATGATGATAACTCGAGTGATGTTGAATGAATATTTATGAGCACGTTTTTTGCAGCATTTCAGTTGTTTAGAGGTTTACAAGTTTGCAACAATAATGGATTCACATCTGTAATTGAATAAATTGTATTGCAAAGTAATTAAAATACTTTTTCTGATTGATTAACTAATTTAATCAATTGTATACTTTTGGCTTCCATTTGGATAACTGTTCATCTCCAAATGATTATTAATAGGCACGGAAACAAATTAAATTGATTTGCACACAAAACTTAATTATTATCATCATTAACGGTTCTGTTTATTATTAGGATATTTACAGTTTATTGAGGTTGTAAGATGAAACATTTGAACCAATTTTTTGATTGAAATTTACTGTAAATTTGTTTTTTCCCCTTGCAATTGATTAATTTTTGCTTTCAATTCTTTTCGCCAAAAATGTCACCAGATTAATGAAAATTTGGCGGGAATAAGGATGGAGATAAAAAAAGATTCATCAAGGAATATCATTATTTTGAAGATTTTTTTCTCTTCTTCTTCATGACAACAGGGGAAAGGGGAAAACTGGAAACATCATCATTCTCATTTTGAACATCATCAACAACATTGACTGGTTATTGGGAAAAGAAAGGGAAAGAATGGAGGAAAGAAGAAAAGTCAATTCTGTCAACACCTTTGTAGGTTAAGGAAGTGGGAATCAAGGTAAAGTTGATAAGATTTACCGAGACAGCTCAAAGAAGAAGAAGAAAGAAGAAGAAAAGAAAGATTTATTTGCACATAATGTTAATGCTAATTAATGATGTTGCTATCATTGGTGATGATGATGATGAAAAAAGATGATACCACTACTACTTTTACTGATGATAATGATGTTAAATGCATTTACAATAATTATGTTGATAAATAATGAATTATCATCAAAATGAAGTGTCAATCTCTTTCTCTTTCAAGTGAACAAGTAGTAAGGTATTAATGGTAGAGAGATGATGATGATGATGATGAGGATGGCAATGAAGAGAAAGAGTGAAAAATTAGAGGAATAATGAACAGAGTATCAGAGTATAAAATAGAGTATAAGAAGAAGAGAAAAAGAAATCTTGTTAATATCAAGAAAGCAATTTACTGCAAAAAGAGATGAAGAAAAAAAACTGTTAAATGTATTTTTGTTCAACACATTATTCAAGACTATTGCAAAAACTATCATTTGTGCGGTAAAATTTAGCTGTGAAAAAATGCTTCTCAGAAGAAGAGAAGAAGAAAGAAGGAAAAGTCAACTCTATCATCATCATCATTATCATCATCTTCATTATCAGCTTCATCATAATGTGTCTATGTGCAAAGATATTGTCAAGTTTATGTCAAGATGGCGATTCCAAGGAAGCAATCGTTTTTGACTTTTCATAACTACATGTTTTTATCCTACACATACAAGGATAAAGGTGATAAAGATAGATGATGAGTGGGGAAAAGAGTGTAGAGAGAGAGAGAGAAAGATCAAGTATGATCCAGAAGAGGTTATGTTGTGAGCTAAGAGAGGCCCATTTAGGCCAGGCCATCCAGGGAAAGACAACCTGGCCCAGGCCAACTCAGCCTTCCAGGTCAAATCTTTCATTTTTATTCGTCTTCCTTGTCTTAGTCAGTACTTCTACCACTTCTTGCTTCTTTTTTTCACTCCTTATCCGTGCACCCTCTTTCACAGGGGAGGAAAGCAAAAGAAGGACAGTTATAAGAGGATGATGATAAAAAAGACTGAGGGAGAGATCACTGGTAGAGTATCACTGTAGGGAGTACATCATTTTAAATAGCGATTTGTTTTGCTTCACTTTTCTTTCTCTCGCTCCTTATACTTCATTCAAAAACCTCGTTAACCAATTTTTACTTTGCTTCTTGAGCCATTTTTTTAGTTTAATTTTTTGGGCAACCTCTTTGCATCAATTGAGCTTGCTAGATGCAGCTATCTGCTAGAAAAGGGATAACTTTTATTGTAAACAATTATTGCACATAAACATCAATACACGAAATCAAACTGCGAATAATTGGTTGATAAGATGAGCATAAAATGAGAAAGAAAGAAAAATCTCTTATTCGCTCTTTTTGTCTACAACTGACTACTTCTAGGATTTTATCGCTATTTACATCATCAGCATCATCATCCTTTTTTATCATGACATTGAGTGTATCTAAGGGTAGCTTATTTAATTTCTTTGCGCTTAAATTATGTTCTGGTTTCATTCAAATGGGTAAAAAGGGAAACTGACAAACACTTAAACATTAATAAACATTAATTGAGCTCAATTTTCATCATGCAATTGTTGAAATATATGTAACACAATGAGCCATACAATTTAACCTTTCAATTTATATATTGGGTTAAAATGATTCTTTTTTTCACTCAAGTAGGAAAGTATAATTAAGAAAAGCGGCGAAAAAAAGCGAATCAAACAATCGATAAAAATTTTTTAGCTGCTTCTTTCAACTTACCTCGATCAGGGATAAAGGTTGATTTGGGTGAACAAGAGAGACTCATTAGAACCAAAGCGGCTGTACAATCATCCATAACTGGATCGTCTTCGAGGCTGTTGCTTGGTCGACGTTTCCGTCCTTTCCTCACTTCAATATTCACCGGTGACATTATCATGTTATCCATCAATAATCAATCTCGCAATTATAATCAGTCTCCCTCTCACAGGTTATCAACTTGTAAATACTCAATGATGAGACGATAAATAGTCAATAATAATCACAGAACCATTTCTTTTGCTGTTTCTTCAATTTTCACTGTTAAACTCTCGGTGTTTTTGGGTTTCTCTTGGTTTCTTTGTTGGTCAACCTGAACTGGTTCCCTTCTGTCAAATGTTGACCTTGTTTATTGCTCTTCCATCAACACCAATCCAATGGACTTTTGCTGTTCTGGTTGTTGCTTGATGAGTTTAGTGTTCACCGGTAGTTACACAGTATAACAAGGCATTAATCAAATACAATTAATTGGACTTTATGTTGAGTGTGTGTTTTATGATGATGCTAATCACGGTTTCAGGTTACCACAAATCCAAGTTTCATCATGTAAACAGTTTTGTCAAAAAAATATGTAAGGTTAAATGTTTAAAAGACATGAAGGTGAAAGAAAGAAGAAAGGAAAACAAAGAAAAAACAGAGAAAAATGTCGACAGAATAAAGTAAAACAAGCTTAAACAGATAGATAATAAAGTTGGGTTGAAATGATGGATAAAAAGCACAAGATTTAAAAATAAAGAATAACTCTTGTTGTTACTGTTCTTGTAGCTGTTGTTTTAATAGTTGTTGTTGTAGTAGTTGTTGTTGGTTGTTGATGTTGTAAAATGTTTGTTACTCTTGTTGGTTACTGTAAGCTTGTCGATTGTATGGTTGATGTTAACTGTATTAGATGTGAAATGAAACTAATCATTGTTAACCAAATAAGGACTTATACTTGGACTTAGGTTTGAACCAAAAACTATCACAACGTTTACCATTTCATTTAACCAAAAAGACACTTTGAGAATCTGAAAACAAATCAAACTGCAAAGCAGGCGCAAGACTGTAAACCTGGTAGAGTAACAACAAAACATATCTGCTATTAAAAAGGCAACCCGAATCTCAACCTCCAATCACAATATACCTCCATCTAGCGTCTACCAAATAAACTAAAGTACCGGTAGATTTTTTTTGGTAAACATTTTTCTCTCACTTTTTCTTTCTTTCTAACTCTCCTTTTCTCACTTTATGTTTAACATAAAACAGAGAATTAAATTCTGGTACATTTTCATCTCTTTTGCACACCAGAAAATAGTTCAAGTTGATCCTGAAATTTGTTAAATAAGCTAATCTATTGATGATTTAACAAGTTACCTAAATATAAATATATAATCATTTAAGCTTGAACAACATTGAAATTTGGCTTTTTTTTCTTGAATCTGTCTTGAAGTGTTTTTTTTAACTTGGATAACAAAAAGAGCTTTTCAATCAAGTTTTACCTGGAACCCAGAGTAACATCATGAATAGTCATTTGTATCAAGAAAACCATCAAAGAAATCGTCCAATGTCCATCTTTTTTCTTTTACTTTATACCTTGAAGGCTTTTAATTTTAATTTAGATTGTAAATGTAAGGTTTGGTCGTTGCTTCAATAATGGCCAAACTGTGCAAAAAAAGTACAAGAAGGAGGAAAGGAAAAAGTTAAAGATGAAAGACAAAACTGAAAGATGAAGATGAAGGAAAAGAGAAGAAGCAAAAGCAAAAAGAAGAAGAAAAAAAGATTTTAATACAAATTTGAGCTTCAATTATCTTCTATACAATCTCATGTTCATGATGTTGCCTCTCTTCAAAGGGATGGATAGATATGCATAAAATGTTTACTTGGAAAAAGAAGAAGAAGAAGAAGAAGCAAAAAGAAATCCTTTGAAGGAAGAAGAAGCAATTTAAAGTTGACAGTTTTCATTTATCCTGGACCAACATAATCATCATCATCATAATCAACAACAAAAGTAGCTTCAATAGAAACCTTCTGATTTTACCCTGATTAACATGAAAATTAATAAAAATTAGCCCTCACCTTACAGATTTTGAGCTGTTTAAACCTCTTCAAAGGGAACATCATTTTTGTTTTGTTTTTACTTGTTAAATTTATTGTTGCATCAAATTGCATCAACATTATCATCATGATTCTCATCCTTTTTGGTGAATTAATAGTTTCTTCATCTTCTTAGTTACATGCAGTTTCTTGTGTTGCAGTTAAAATGAAAATGGTTTGATTGTTGGTAATCGTTTGAGCTGGAAATATTAATAGATACAATATGAAATAATGTTAATGATAACAATGATAATATTAATATGAAAATAACAACAAAAAAGGAAAGTTGAGTTTTTATTCCCTTAAGACATGCAAAGAGTTAACAAGATTCACTAAACAGGAGCAGTTTGCTGTAAATGCAATTTGCTTTTCCAATTCAACTATCAAATCTGTTTACATCAAAAAAAGTAATAGTTTCAACTCGGCACAATCATTATCATTGTCATTATCATTTATGGATATTTACCTCTACCACGATGTAATGTTTACAGAGTCAGAATCAACAGCCAAAATCCAAGTAACCCAACAGTCGCTGTTGAACAACTTTTTTTTCTTGTTTCTTGTTCCTTTGCTGTTGTTTTTGTAATTGATATTGAAAGCAAAAATGGAGTCAAATGTTTGTTGATTGTTCAAATGAAGTGTTTGAGTTGAGGAAAAAAGGAGAGAAACGAAGTGAAGAAAAAAAAATAACCAGAAAAAAACCACAAAATTGAGTTCTTCGCTTTTTTTGTGTCTCTACCTTTACTCTTGAAATGTACAATACTAATGATGATAATGATGGTGGAAAAGGAAATGTAAAAGTCACCTCATGTTTAGAAAAGTTATTATTCCTAATCAAACATTTTCCATGGTGATGATGATCAGTGTAAATGTTTAAATGATTCGCGTTTTTGGGCTTCTCTTTTTTTTGTTGGTAAGTTATTAACTTGTCAATCAACAATCAGGTAAACATATTTATATTAGCATTTTACAAGCAACAGAAGCAACCAGGTAATATTACAAAACTGGTAATGACTGTTGACTGTTTTAATATTGAAAATAATAAAACAATAAAAGATGAAAATGAGGGTAAAAAAGAAAAGAGTTTTCTCTTCTTCTTTTTATAACCTAAAGGTTTACAAGTTTTGGTGATACTCAATCGATCCAGAAAATTTTGCAACTGAATGTTCATCTTATCATCATTATTGAAACTATGTTGGCATTGGAATACAATAAAGGTTTCAAGAAGTGAGTAAAGGAAAAGTCCGCGTGATATTTGAACGTGATGATGATGAGGATGAGAAAGGTAAGAGATAACAGAAGCAGGAGAATGGCAAGTTATGAAATGCTAATAGAAATTTGAGTCACTCGAAGGTAGAGAGAGAGAGAGAAGATGATGAAAAGATGAGGATGGAATCCAATGGTTCAGGTAATGAGAGAATCCAAGGTAATGTGATATTATTGATAAAATATATATAAAAGTAGTTTGATTGTGGAGTAGATCTTTTTTTCTTCTTCTTCTTCTTCTTTGGATGATGAGAACATGAAGAAGCTGAAAGAAGTGAGAAAAGCATAAGTTCATTTTCATCATACTTTTCATCATCATCCTCCTCATCATCACCATTATTATCATCCATGAGGCTGGATCAATATTTGGTGAAGAAAAGTAAACGACCGTGAAAATACAAAGAAAGTTAATTTGGAGTAACATTGGAAAAGATTATTACAATAGATTTACCAAGAAAATTCAGGATAAACTGTCAATAAGTTCAACTAGATAAATTCAGTTTAACAATGGCTAATAACAGTAATAATAATAATATTAATAAAATCAAATAAAATTATTATTCTCATTGATATTAGTTTCATTTTTGTCATCACTTTTGTTTGCCATCTTTTTGTACATTTTTTTTGCTTCTTCTTGGTACATTTATGCATATATTGATATAAATAATTATAATGGATCAACTATTTGTTCAACCTTTTTCTTTATCTTGATTCTTATTGAAACTTATTCAATAATGAATGTGAAATTATCAATGATTTTGAGTCAATGTTTGCTGTAAAATTTGAAAAGGCCAAAGAGGAAGAAACAAAAGGTTTTGAAAATGGGTAACAATGTTTCATGTTGAAAATTAATGAGCAGAAAAGGTTATTAATATTGGGTTAAAGGTTAGAGTAAAATTGCTGGAAAGTTGACGATAAAAGATGATCATGATGAGGATGTTGGGTAAGCCTGATGATTGACTAAGCTCATCAAGAAAAATATGGGATAACATGAAATTGACCTGATCGTTGAAGAAATGAAAGTTTATCTTATTCATCTTCAATCTTTTTGTATTTCTCTTCTTCTTTTTAATACTTACTTTTTTTCTTCTTCTCGAGATGATTTCTTTCTTCTTCTTCTTCTTCTTTGGTCTTCATGAATCTTGTTTCACATTAACCATCCTCTCTTTCATTATTCATCATCATCATTATCATGAGAGTTGCTTATACCGATGTTGATCTCATTTTGCTTATTTGCTTGGCAAGTCACCAATTTTCTGTAATTTAAAGTGTTTAAAAGGAACCTTAATCTTTATAAAACCGGACAACCACTTACTCTTCATCATCTTTTTTTCATCTCCTTTCACTTTGAGTAAAAAACAAAGCTCCTTCGAGTGATTATCCTTTTTGCTTCTTCTTCATTCTTTTCATCATCATCATCTTTTAAGGACCCATCATTTTATCGTTATGCAAGCAAAAGTGAAAAAGGAAGGAAGGAAAGATCCAGGGCTTAATGAAAGCAGCCAGTTCAAGAGATGAAGATGAGTATGATGATGATGGTGGTGGTGGTGGTGGTAAAGATGAACAAGACTAGAAAAGGAAAGAAAAGCGAAAATCATTAAATGGTAAAAAAGGAGGTGATAAGTTTACTCATTTAAGACCTGTTGCCCTGAAGCATAAGGCCAAGGTAAGAAACGACTATGATGACCAAGATTATCATCAAGAAACTAGAGACACTAAGCTTCATCATTTCGCTCATCATTTCATCATGAATTTATAAAAATAATACTTTGCCCTGGTTAATCCATTTTCTTGTTTACTCCCAATCATCAAGTGACCTTAAAGTGACATCAAGTTGAATCTCTTTTTTTTCACCACTTTTTTCATTTTCTTCATTTTCTTCATTTCCTTTTTTTACCTTTACTCCCAACTCGATGATGATTGTAAGGTGGTCAAGCCAAGAAGCAAATTAAAAAGTAGGAAGAGAAAGAAGATGACAAAGTGAGCAGAACTTTTTTCAAGCTAAATTAATTGAAATTGTAAAGTTATATTGTTTCTAAGTCATTTATATTGTAAACAATATAATGAAAGATAATCATTTTTGTTATTAATTAACTCACACATGGTTAAACTTTTTACTTTTTTTGACTTCTTCTTGTTTTATAATTTTTCAGGTAAATTTTTCGCAATTGACCATGATGATGATTATTATCATTATAAAGACAAGTTATCATTAGTTACGTTGATTTAGTGGTCACAACAGTAAACAATTTAATTCGACTTTCAATTATCTTGGGTTATTAAGAGTATGGAGTAGAGATGAAGCTGTACAGGTAACAGAAACGGGTAAAAAAAGGACCAGAAAAAAGAGCAAAATTATATTAATTATCATTGGGAAATCATGGTCGTCATAAATGATTAAAGGTTGTTACAAGCATCGAATCAATTAACTCAATTAACTGAGTGAAAACAATTTTCTAGATTTACTTTTTTGGAGTCAACATTTAAACACGTTTAGTTGCTGCTTCATCCTTTAATATCCACTAATCCAACTTGATCAATTGATTGTTGAGACAAGATCACTTTTTTCATCACTTTTTTGCTTAATTGTAAATCATTCAAATGCATGTTTAAACTGTAAAGTGTAAACAACAAGAAAATGACTTTTTTTTCGTAAAATTGTTTACAGTTTAACCTTTTTGCTTGAAACATCTCATCATCACCATTATCTTGATTTTTGGTCCTTTTTTTGCTATTTACCAATATGAATGAAAGTTTAATGACAAATAAATTAACCCTAACTTTAAGCTATTAAAACTCAACAAACCATCAACATCTCACCTTACCTTTTCTGCAATCAAATTAACCATGATTGTCAAATAATAATAACACAATTGCTGGGTTAATGGTCATAACATTGAATTAATAACACAAAATCAACTCAACTTACCAGTTTTTTTTGTACTCATTTTTTTCTCTCTCTCTCTCTTTAACTCTCTTCCCCTCATCATCATAATTTAACTTCTTCTTCTTCTTTTTTTCTGCTTTTTACTCAAACCAACTTTCCTGGCCTTTTTTACCTGTGTTTGATCATGATAATTATGAGATCCTGTAACCACTAATCATCAAGTTCAGTCGACGTTTACATGTTTAATCTGCCAAATAACTGTGGTGATGATCACGTTTCTTTTGTATTCAATTTTCTTTCTTTTTTCGCCATCTCCAATCTCTTGCTCTTTTAACATCCAATGTTGTTTATTATGCAAGCAATTTGATGATCTACAGAAGGAAAGAGAAGTGAAAAAAAGGATGATAATGAGTAAGGCTTTTGAATGAATGAACAAAAAGAGATAATCTATGAGTAGAAGAAGAAAAAGAAGAAGCGAAAATGGTGCAAAATTCAACGTTTTCAATAGATGATGAAAAGTGCAATGTTGAACGTATAAAGACTAACACTGTTTTTTACTCGGGTTAAGAGTTGTTGATGTTGTTGTCGAGGAAAATGTTCATCTTCATTATCATCAGTTTCCTTTTACAGTTGTTGTTGTTGTTGTTGTACCCAGAGATAACAATCAACATTAGCGAGATAAAGTGTAGGATGAACAATTTAACGATTAAATATTGTCGCATAAGTGTTGTCAACATTATTTGATTAAGAATGGCTTTGACTTGTTTTGCCCTTTCCAAAAATTATTTGCAATCTTTTCTCACTTGGACATCTAAAGGAGGAAAAAAGTAAAAGACAAGAAAAAATTAAGTCAATCTCATCTCTTAATATGGTTACGATTACATCAAAACTCACCAACTTTGACTATTTACCTTGATTTTAAACTGCTGTTTAAAACCAACGATGCAACCTAACAAAATTGAACCTCCTTTTTGCAACATTTGTCATTTGAAGAAGATTTGTTTTCCACAATCTATTTACTCTCTCCTTCTCTCCCTTTGCTCATCAACAACAACAATAAACAACATTTCGTAGCTATCATCATTTCCTTCTTTGTTTCTTCTCTGTTTGCTGTAATCCTCCATTGATTCTGGTTTTGGTGCAAAGAATTATGATTGCATTGAAAGAATGCAAAACAATAGCAAGTCAATAACATTAAATGTCCTTTTTGTCTTCATCTCTCTCTCCCTTCAAACGTTGACTCTTAATGATAATTTCATTTGGCGTATTTGTTTCTCCAATGAAAAATTTAATCTGCAATTAATGAGAAGAAGAAAAAATTATAATATCAATGATAATAATTGTGGAATGGGTGAAGTGATTAAGAAGAAGAGGAAAAAGTTAATCAATTAATAAATTATATAAATACTATGTGTTAAATTATACAATGGGTTCTGGTTTTTGTTTTGTTTATTGTTGATTTTTGTCTTTGGTGAACAGCAATAATGCAACTAATTGGGTTTAGCGAAGAAGAAGAAAGAAGAAGAAAGTTTTTTTTCTTCAAAATGAAACCAGGCATGATACATCATTGGTAACTAGATACGCCTTTTGTTCATTAAAAGCACCAAGTGAAAATACAGAATAAAGATTATTCTACATCTTCATCTAGGGATCAAAATTGAAAGGAAAGAAAAGAAAAGGGGTGAAAATTAAGCAATGGGAAAGTAAGTTGAGCCAATCAATGAGTGCTGTTGCTGCTTTGCAAAAAGTAAAATAAAAATCTGGTCAACAGTGAAAAGATGCTTCTCAAGTTTAAATATCAGGAAAGATCTGGCTTTTTTGCTTTGCGGGTAACCTTGAATTTTGAGGGATTTGTAAGTCCGTAGGGTTACCATCTTATCCCATTTGGTGAAGAAAAAGGTAAATGCTCAGATCAAAATGATGCAACAAGGGTAAAGATGATCAAGATGACGAGGAGAAGAACCAGGAATGATATCAAGGATAATGATGTTGATCTGTTGCAGCAAGAAAAGTCCAGCTAACCAGGCAAAGATATCACAAGTTGGAGGACGTTGAACTGTTGAGGGTCGCTTTTCCTAGGCTGTTTTTAATACATGATCAGGAAGGAAAAAGAAGAGGAAAATCAGGCGATGAGCAAAAATGAGAAGAGAAAGTGCAACGATTAAGCAAAAGAGTAACATGGTTTGTTTTGCTTTAAAATCAATTTTGCTATTTTGCAAGTTTTCATCCTACTTCAAGATTTGAGTTCAACTCAAGTTAAAGGTGAAATCAATCTTTGATTATAAATGAATACAGATAAAACTGTGGGCCGTTTGTTGACATCTTCATGTTTGTCACATGGAAAGAAGACGATCATCATCATCATGATGGTGGTGGTGATGATGAATAAGAAGATGAAGAGGATGTTGATAGTGAATTTTTTGAGTTGTTTGCAACTTTTTCATGCTAATCGTTTCTCGATAGAGAATTTAGAAAAGAGAGAAAGCAAAAGATGATGCAAATGATGAAAAAAAAGTACGTATTGAATCAATCATCATTATACTCATCATCATCATCGTCATCGTCATTATCATCATCAATTCCAATTGATTTTATGCAATGTCAAAACCTTTGGTTCCATTTTTCAGCTCTCTCTTTTTTCTTTGCATATCTTTACAGCCTAAAACAGGAAAGAAGGGTAAGAATCAGAGATTAATTTACCAAGTAAAATTTATAACATTACATGAAACCAATCAAGAAAATGAATAATTTAATGATTATTTCCCTTTTAAATTTGTAAATTTCCTCTCGGTTATAATAGATATATTTTTATACATAAATATATCCTCACAGTTAATTCACTTACCATTAAATTATCATCATTTTAACCATTGACATCACCATCGTACTCTTTATCATCTTTCGTTCCTTGAAATGGAGACTAAAAAGAGAATAGAAAATCTTCATGATGATGATGATGATGATGGTCTTTCAAGGACCATTCAACTTATTGAAGCTCGATGGTGATGATGATCAAAGTAAACGGAGCAGAAGGGAGGGAGAAAGAGAGAAAAAAATAGATCTAATGATCTAATGTGAACTTGTCGTGTTACAAACTCTCCCACCCACCCTACCTCCTTCCCTTTCATCTCTCTTTCTCAACAGGGTGTCGGTTGAAAAACTTAGTTTATCATCATCTTCTCATTTTCTTCATTTTCTTATGTTACTCTGGTAAAAACTTAAATACATGGCTCTCTCCTTTTTTACCTATAATTTAGCCATCAAAACTGTTTTTTTTTCAGGTTATAAATATTATTATTACTATGCGCTAAAAAATTAGCATCCATTTAATTCTTTCTCTTTTTTTTTCCTATCGCTTTTCATTCCTCCTCATCGCATCATCATAATCATCTAATCTACATTGAATGGCCCAATTCGTAGTCAAATCCATTCCAATTCAATGTGATTGTTTATACATATCAGTGTAATGAAATATCCACCAAATGAAACATTTATGCGTTTCTTTTTTACTTTATACCAAAAACGCATAGTCAATCCCTGAGGCCACCATCAAGTTCATGCCCATGATTACATGTTAATGTATCTCTTTACCTCTCTCCCTTTGCTTTAACTGATCTTAATGCTCCGCCATCATCTTCTTTGCCTATTTTTTTGATATTTTACCTCTTGATTTTTTTTTCTTTTCTTTCTTTTCTTGCTTCTCTTCAATGTGTGTGGTTATGCACAGAACCAATCGATCAACTTTAATCAGACTGATATACATGGGGGATAACATGGCGCCTGATCCATCAAAAAGATGCCACCTAAATTCACAGATAATCGAAGTCCTTTTTTTTATGTCTCTGGTTCTTTCTCTTTCCTTCTCCTTCTTTGTATCATTGATTGAATGGATAAACATGAGCTGTAAATTGAAACAAGCAAATGACATTAGCAATAATATAATTTAAAATAATGTTGAAAGTAAAATGAAAATGGTTGACCTTTTTTTGTTCATAAATATTGCAAGGTCAATCCATGTCTTTTCCCTGTTTCCTTTTGATCACTTTTTCCATGTTATTCTGATTTTACTCAAGTTTTCTTTTACGTCTGTCTACTTCTCCTTGAAAAACATTCAATCTATCGTGCTAAAGTTCATTGCAAGGAACAAGACTTGAAACTGTGTGTGCATGCAAACTTTTAAACAAAGTTGTATGCGTGTTGCATGTGAGACTTTTTGAGTCCATTGATGACAAAGAGAGAAAGTGTTTAACTTGATGATGATCAACGAATCATTTAGGGAACCCTAGACACATATAAATAATTAATGGACTCAGTTACTTGTTCATAGCGAGACTCTTTAGAGAATCAAACATTAGGTTTCAAAGTAACACACAACAACAGAAAGGGAAACGAAGATGAAGTTTAACCTACTTGAAAAAGTTAACATCAGTTAATATATAAATTACAGGTTCTTTGTTTATTGCGAGATTAAGTTACTTGGTTTCTTTTGCTTTTCCTCTTGTCCAGACAAAACTGTTTAAAATTGGAAATGATGTTTCCATTTTGTTCAATTGATCAAATGTTAACCATAAAGAGCACCAATCATGGTTCAAGGGAACAACAAATCGACAAGATTTATTTCCACAATTAACTGGTTTATTATGCACGGTGAAACCTGTAATCAATAGAAGAAAAAATTATTGAAAAAGGAAAGAGAAAAAATGGTTTATTCAAACTCAGTCAATAACCTGATGGAGTATATAAATGTGAATTGAATTGCATTTTTTGTTCATCTTTTTTCTTCGTCATCAACTTCGTTTCACTTTTTCTTTTTGCTTTTTTCTTTCGTTTGATTCGTAACGATTCTTGAGAAAGTTGAACATTTCCAGTTTTCGAAGAAAATTATGATAGAGGACATAAATAATGCATGATAAATGATGACAGTTCTGGTGATGAAATGATAACAACATTTCAATCCAATCATCAGCAATTTGCAAAGCGAAAACAGATTATTGCGAAAAGACGAAAAGAGAAGAAAAAAGAAGAAAACAAGACGAAGATGAAGATAAAGATGGATATGATGATGATAGTAATCAGGATGGAATCAATTTGCTTAATTTTGGAAAATTTTAATGCAATTTCCATGCCAATTGAAGAAACTGGCTTTTTCCTTACTGTTAGGGTTGAATTGAATGGCTCTTACTTTTTGATTTGCTTGGATTTGATTTAATTTGCAATTTTCTGTTAGAAACGGTTAATTAAGATACAATTTTCCACAAAACAGTTCCAGATTAGTTGTTTCTCCTTAATTTCGTATTCGTACCACCTTATCAAGTAGATGCTGATTTTTCTTTAGATATAAATGTTTTCCATTCAATTTCTTTATCTTAATCACCACTTTCCTTACCACATTAGCAACAGTTTACTGCAAAAAATACTGTTTCTCCCAGTTTCTTTTATTATTATGAAACACCAAAGATCAAGGACCAGCTATAAGATGCATGTAAGGAGTGTTCAATCTTGCTTCATCTTTTGGGCTCAGATCATTTTTATTTGTTCCAGGTTTTGCTTTTTTCTTCTTCTTCTTTGATTCCATTGCTTTTCAATAAACCATTTACAATGATGTTGCCCATTAGTCACTGAGCACCAAGAATGGTTAGTTTTTGACTTTACCAATGTTTATCCAATCCATCAATTGCTAATAGAAATATGTTTCAATGCTACTCTCTTGAATTTGCAAATGAGGTCCAAAAAAGAGGAACAATGAAAGATGCCAACCTGGTTAAACTTTAGCGTAGCTGACATATCATCTTTTATTTCTTATTCATCTAATAATAACAGGGAAGAGAGATAAATCTTCAAGTCTGTAATCATTCAACTAATCTAATTCATATTTAAAGTACCTGATGATAAGAAGTAGCCTGGTAAATGTCATTAGATTTACTTTTTTTTGGGCAATATTCGGTGTCCCTTTTTTTCCATCTTTCTGAATCTTTTAATTTCCTCAATTGTAACTTTGGTTGAAACAGAAATGATCATCTGCGGTTTCTTGTTGACAGTAAGGGTGAATGTTGTGGCGGTGGAAAGTGTGAATCTAAGGAAGAGTTGGAGAAGAAAAAAAACAGTCTTAGTACATGATGATGGTGCATAAAAGGAGAAAATTGAACACTATTCCTGGAAAATTCAAATAATAGAGATAATAATGATGTTGATGATGATGATGGTTCAAGAGGTTTTTTTCATCTTTTCATTCTTTATGAAGAGAAATTATTCCTTTAGCATTTTATGACCTAAAAATTAATACATAATTTTATGTTACAATGAGTTTCGTCAAGGTTTGAAGGATTCATTCTGCTGAATGACCATCTTTTACCAATTGAATGTAAAAGCTGATTGATTACCTGTTAGCCACAACTTTGCTGATTGCTTAATTCAGTAACATAGCTTACTCAGCATTGCTACTTAATTATTTAGTTTTTTTTGCTTAACATTGAAAATAAAAACTGTGCATACACAAATTTATCTCGAGTTACTGTTGCTGTGTGTTGCTGTTAACTCTTCAGTATTTAATCATCATCACCATCATCACCATCGTTATCATTGTCATTATCTCTTTCTTTTTTCTGCAAAGTACCAATTTAAAGAGGAGAAACTTGAAGGTAAACAGTTGTGAGTAGAGAGAGAGAGAGAGAAAACGACCAAAAAAATTAACAGCATTAGAATACGGAGAGTTGATGAAGATTTTAAATTAATGACGCCAATGATTTTCTCTTTTCCATTTTCATTCATTAACTTGTTCATTGTTCGTTTTTCCTTTTTTTTCCAGTTATCTAATTTTATACCATGAGATGTACCTGTTCCATCTTGTCATGTCCGTTGTTGAGTTTGGTGGTGGTGGTGGTGGTGAAGTTATTGTTGTTTTAGGTATTACCGGTTTAGCTGACGCCCTTACCCATAGTTTGTTACTAGGGGCCATCATTGACCGGAAAAGGGTGTGGATACCTTCATGAGGTTTTGGTGTAGATGTGGATGTGGATATATGTGTATGTTTTATGTGTACGTATGTATACATTTTTTTTCCTCTTCACACAAGTGAACAATGAGCAAATTAAGTATAATCATAATCACCATAATCATAATCATTATTGTTATGATTTTTTAACTATTATGACTATTATTATTATTATCGACCTTTCTCAAGGATCATCGTCATTCAGGCTGATCTAGTAACGAAATATCTCCATAGACTTGTTGGTGCGTACACTAACAATGTAAATTTGGATAAAACTATGTGTGTGTAAAACTTATATAATATACGCACATAGCCACACCTTTACAGAAAACTGGATAAACTAGGGGAGCCATTACCGTCCAGGATGCATTTTTAAATATCAAAGATAGATCAACAGCAGAAACCCGGAAGATTGTGTTACCAGCCCAATGAGAATGGATGTGTTGTGTGTGCATAATTTTACTGTTGATGATATATTGGTTGTTAGTGTGAGTGTGTTTGCATATATAAACGTTGGTATAATTTAAATGGATGATGAAGTTTATAATAATTGTGAAGAGGGAAAATGATGAGGAAAACAGTGGATCCCATTGTAAGCCTTTTTTTTACTTGCGTAACCAGGGTAACCCAATTCAAAGATTTAATAGCGGGTTTCAGGTTTACCGAGGTTGTATGAATTAGGCTCTATGCTTGGACTGTCAAGGTTTTTCCGTGATATTTCACTACCTGGAGACCTTGAGAACTTGTAGATTTAAAAAAAAGAGAAGGGAAGAGAAAAGAAGAAGAATGGTGAGAAGAAGAAAAAAAGAGGAGAAAAAGGAGTAAAGTAGATTTAGTAACAAGAAATAAGAAAAAAAAGTTAAATAAATAGCAATTGATGTACAATTGAAAAACAGATTTATGAAAAGATGATTGAATTGAAAGACCTTGATAAATCCTCAGCTTTTGGTTAATTATACTTTTTCTTTGCCTTTCTCCTTTTTTTGATTTAATGCCGTTGTGCATAAGTAAAAGTGTTAAAAAACATCATTCCAAGGCTCTTCAGTTGTGTATCCCATCCCTCATCATCAACGAATAGCACAAGTTTCACATGGTAACCTGTTTTCTTTTCTTTTCTTTTGAATGTTGCATTTGCTTTTTTCTCTCTTTACATCTTTTCTGCTTTTCTTGGTAACACAATTCAACACAACCCTTTCGTTCTTTATTCCTGGATCTTTAAAGGTCCGTTCAAGGTTTTGGACCTCGTTATTGTATGGCCTTCTAAATAGTGAAAAACGGGTTCCTGTTTTCTTTTTGCTTGCACTAAACTCTAGCTTTATCAGTTATGGACCAGAAATCCGTTTCTTTTCTTGGCTTGTCAATTTAGTCTTGCAACTTTCATTAGGATTAACTCAGGGAGACAGTTTTCTTTATTGGATTTTTTCGGACTTGTACTGTTATCAAACTAGGCTCCCATGAATACGGAAATAAATTATAATTATACTTTTCCAATTTCACCAAGCTTATCATCATCATTTTCCAATTCCGTTGGTTCCTTTGTTTTGCCTTTGTTGTCTAATTTGAAATGTATTTTGTAACAATTACTTTGCCTTTTGTTTCCTCAGATTCTTTGTAAAATGAAATTTAGAGGACACGTCAACCACAGGAATTGATACTCATTCTAAGCCATGCCAGAATATTTTTGGGTTTCCAAGGACAGCAGCAACTTCAAACTTTTTTTTCACTTTTCATCAGTGGAACCAAAAAATATGAACAGAGAAATGAGATGAAGAAAAAAAAGAGAGAAAGAAAAGTGTAAGAAAAAAAAACATTAACAGATAGAAGGGTAAATAACTGTGAACAAAAATAAACTTAAATTGATTAATCTGTAATGCTTGAGCAGTTGATAAATGAATGAATCCCTTGTCCGTACCAACAGTTATTACATCATTGCGTATACTTGAGAGAATCTGGAATGAGAAGTCACCTAAAAGAGAAAGAAGGTAAAATGTATGCGTTGGAAATATAAGACAAAGTGAATAAAATTGCATAAAAATGGTTAGAAATGGTGAGATAATTACCGTTACCAAAAATCAATTTATAAGCTGGCAAAAACGTGTTGGAAGTAACCGTTGAAAGAAACGGTCTTTTTATGGAAATTTTCTGGTTTGTGAACTCGTCATGGGTCTAACGATCATAGTTGAAATGGTTATCACCATTGTTAATAAATTAAAATAGATAAATTGGTGCAACAAGACAAAAACAAGTGACTAGAAAACCAACCGCAAACAAAGCTTTTCAAGAGAACAAAAGAAAGGATTTTTTTCTTTAACCGATTAACCGCCATCTACTGAAAATTAAAGCCGCGTTTTATTATTCAAATGTTTATCTTTTGGTTTTAATTTAATTTAAATCAATTAAAGTCAATTGTTTTTAATCTAATTTGTGATTTAAACAACATTAAATGCTCTGTTAAACCAGTGTTGTCTTCGTTTAGTACACTTTTCATTTCTTTGTGTTGAAATAAAAATAAAACCAGTACCAGAAATATGTTACCCCATGAGTTGGTTCATTAAGTAGCCCTTTCTCAAAGCTAAATCAAGAGGATATAGCTAAATGTGACATTCATCGTATCAGACGATATGTTGGCTGGTGAAGACAATTAACTTCTGCCTTGGTTTCGTTTAACACATGCTGATTGTTTGAATGCTGCCTTTGGTTTCGGACTATGGACACTGTCAATCTCTTTTTGGTGATACAAATGGTCGTTTGTTATTGCTTATTGAGGGCGATATGCAAAGGTTACAACTAAAGGAACAGAAGAAAAGATGGAAAAATTTGGTATAATTTTTGTGTCAAAGAGTCTTGTTAGCCCTACGGATTAATCTCAGGTAATACGCTTTTGAGTAAAATAAGTTGCTTCATCTGTTTTTTTTTCGTAGAATGAAAATAAATTCCAATCTTTATTCTTTCATTACATTTCTTTCTTTCCCATTATGTCTAATTAATTTCAATCTAGAATCATCGATTTTTGTTTGTAAATTTGGCGTCTTTTACTTTCTTTCTTTCTGATCTAATATACTTTGATTAAATTCAGTCTTCACACTTGAGTCTTCGCAAAAGAAAAGTGTTCAAGGGTAGTAGTAAATTAGGTGTTGGTATCGAGATCATTAGAAGGAAAGTTGACTTTTTTTTACTAAAGACCATCATCATTATCATCAATTGCAATTACAACAACATCGAGTATCATCATCATTATCGTTGTACAAAGGGAAAAAGAATAAAAGTAAGTTGATGAAATTGAATCAAGTTAAAGATCTAAATGTTGTGTATATTCTCTATGTGATTTACTGCAACCGGATGGACACAGACAGGTCATGGGAAACCAGGTTTAAAGGGTGTGACCTTTCAAGCCAGTTTAATAATCAAACAATGACGTTCCTAAAATAATAATGGCTACCAAGCTGAAATGATGACCTTACACAATTATTTTTAATACCTGTTATATTAGCTAAAAAGTTATTTAACCAGTCCACCAATGTGATCACCATGTTTTTTTTATCTGAGTAAGTCTTTTCCCGTTTGTTTTTCTAACCTTCCCTCAATTTGCTGCCCTTCTTCAGTTAAGTTTATCTGTTTCAGTGTCTGTTGACCCTTCTTTTAAAGGCCAAAAATCCAATGTAAAAGGAGAGTTTTAAAAGAACGAAGCTAAATAAAGAAAGAGTGACTCCTCTTTACCCTAAGGGTAAGTAACATTGGCTAATATATCTTGTTGTCAGTGTATCACTATCATTATTACCTTCTTCATCATTTTCCCTTCATCTCCCAACAAGTCTTTAAGTTAAAGACTACAAGTTTTGTCCTTTTTCTCTGGTTGACCATTAATCTAAACTTTTCTTTCTTCTCTCTCTCTTTTAGCCTTTTCCATCCATCTACCCTGAGTTTTCCCAGCACATTAAGGAACATCGCATGGCTACTCACTTTGAAAATTTCAATTTTTTCCACCTTCTTTCTAAATCTTTCCATAGAGATTTGACTCCTCTTCAGACCTCTCCTCTCACTCTTACCTGAATATGAATTTCCTTGCAATTTCATAACTTCCAATGGTTCCCTTTTCAACTGTCCATAATAATTGTGTAATAATTTCAGGTAAACCGATTGCTTGCATTTACTCTTGTAATTTTGTTTCTACTTTCTTCTTCTCTTTTCCTCTCTCACTGGACCGAATCTTTACCTCGGACATGAGTTGAGTTTTAAAAGGAATTGGCATTGGAAGAAAAGGTAGAAAGTAGGAAAACAAAAAGCAAAGACAAATTGTCTTAATCAGTCAACTTTTTTGTTTTTATTGTTTTTCATTGTTTCTTTTTTTACCTTTTTTCTCTTGCTTATTTATTAGTCACCTTGCTTTGTCCCTAATAATGATCATGACTGTTATAATCATTATCTTTTTTTTCATCATTATGACCATTATTTTGAATCACTGTGAATCTAACTATACAATAAATGACAAAGTCCATAAGGCTGATTGTTGTGATGTAAAGGCGTTACCCCACACTCAACAAACACAGCAAAAAAATTGCATTACATTTGCCTCAATCAAGTGGGTACTGATCAATACTAAAGTTAAAGTTGCTCAGATCATGCAAACATTATGCAACTATCGTAACTTGATATACATTTTTTTAATTCCTATCTTTAACCCGTGATAAAAGTTGAAACCGTATTATTTCAACTGTTTTTCACGCGTTTACTTTGCCCAGGCAAGAGTAAATTGTTTGCATAATTGTTTAAGTAACTTGTAAACAGAGAGTTTAGTCTTGTGATGCCAAGTGATCTTAATTTGTTGAAATTAAGACGCAAACTTGTTAACTATTGATTGGTGTGAGGATTATGAGAACCCAATTTTGTTAGGGTTACGCCTTTACCCAGCATATAACTAACACAAAAATATTAACCAAAAAAGTGAGAGAAAAGACTAAACTTATCTTTCCTTTTCACATTATTCTGTTTACGCTCACACAATTATTAAGGGTTATTATTAAAGGAAATAACTGTTCAACTTGAAGCTCAATGCCAATACTGGATCAAAATTTTTTGTCGATTTTTGTTCTTTTCTCTCCTTATTCTTGCTGTATTTTCATCTTCCTTTCTCTCTTATGTTACTAACAGTTCTATCCTTTCATTTTTTTTGCAGAAGAAAAAAAAGGTTCACATTAAACAAGGAGAAGAAGCAAAAAAGCCTAAACCAAAGGGAAAACAAAAGGAAGAAGAAAAGAGAACGAAAAAAAAGAGAAATCGAAAGTAAAGCAAATAAAAAAATAAAGAGTCAAGATTACCAGGAAAAAGTAATCATCATTCTACAATCATGACTTTGGGTGTAAAACATGTTCACAATATTCATCAGCTGGTGAGGTTTAGTGAATCTAAAATCTAACCCTAAAATCATCAAAATAGATTGGGTTTTAATTTATTGGCTATCAATAGTTTGTAAATGCTTCAAGTTGCTTGGATTGCTCTTCAGAGAAAATTATTGCACTGGTTTTGTATAAAAACGCACGCGTCGAGGTTAAGCCAAGACATGATTCTCAAGTGAGTGACTTGAGGACACCCTTTAATTCATCATACAAGCTTGTTTAGTGTTAGGTGCATCATGCAGAAATCTAGAAATAAACAAAACTTGAAATTATTATGAGCCTAATATACAAAAATTTATAATAATCGTTATCTTTTTCATCTCCTTTATCGTCCTCTTGAAGTGGTTCCAAGCAACTGTCCATGGCATGTTATAATCATTAAACAATGTATCAACAGATTCCATGTTTTAATGATGTTCTTAATAAGCGATCAGCTTAGATTTGACCAGAGACAAAACAAACATCCTGAAGCTAACCGCCCTCATCTCCCGACATAACATTAACATATCCGCTCTCTCAATATCGCTTTATATAATATAATTCATGCGGTTCATTGTTTTGATCAGACAGAATAATTTTATTGTTATTTAGTCCATTCTTTCAAATAATTTTCATCAGTCTTCCCATTTACACTATGAGTTTAGTTTTTAGTTTGATGCCATCAAATTCAGGTAGAGTTGGAATGTCCCTTTCCGTTATTAATTTTAGGTTTGCATTTAAATTTTCATTTTCAATTTTCTCATTATTTATCAGAAAGGTCCATTGAGTTAATCTTCTTTCAGGAAATTTCATCAGCACTAAGTCCATATCGTAAAACAATTTCTTAAACCAACAATAAGGAATGAAACTAATTGATGACAAATTGGTTAACAGAACAATTAGATAATCTTAAAAACGTGAATAATATTAAAAACAAAAATTTTAATCGATTTCAATTAAAATTGAATTTCCATTTCTGACATAAACAATTGTTTTGAGTTTTGACAAGAAAGCAAATCTCTTTCTTCCTTTCTTCTCTTTCCTTACAACATTAAGCCGGCTTTCACCGGCTTCGGTATTTTGCCGGTTTCACATTGTTACGCCATCTATCGAGTAATCTGGTTCCTTCAAATGTAAACAAAGAGGCTCAATATATTCAATCTTTAGAGCAATTGAAATATTATTGTTTCATGGATTGAATTATGTCCATAGTAATTAAGGCATCAATTTTTACGTTCATTAGTACCTTTTTTTGCCTGTTTCATCCATTAGTTCCAATTTATTTATTAATCTAATTCTGTAACTGAATTATTAACTAACTTGTTCACATTTCTTTTTAATTTAATTTAACCAATTTGTCCTTTTCCTCTAATTTGATGAAATCTTGCTTCTTTATACGGCCTTTTGTGATGATTCCTTTTTTTGTTAAATAATCTCTTTTCTGTTTCTATTTTTCCCTTTATTGATGGTGATTAACTCTGTTTCGCTTTTGAATTTTACTTCACAATTTAGGATTGCAAATTATGGTTATGCATTCTCTTGGTGAACAGATTTATGATTAACTCATTGTTGTAATTGTTGACCATTAGTGAAATATATTAGTTAATAATCTGGGTTCATTTTGTTTCAACTTTCAGTTATCAAATGAAGCTTTATTTTTTGATGAGTCTCTTTTTATTAAATTGAAATTGAGTTGAAACCGTCCTTACATTGTTATATGAAAATAAAGCAAAAAAAACAGTAGAGAGAAGATTGATTTGCTCAATCGCGTTAGCTTTCCCATTCCTTTGTTTCATTGTACTAATGCTTTCCCGTTAATGTGTTATGGTTCAATTTAATTGCTATTATATTATTATCTTGAGCCATATTAAAGTTATAATTTGTTATTCTCCCGATTTGTTTAATTACCTGTGGGCTCCTAATATTTTCAATGCCTTTTTGGGTATATTTTGGTGATATTTTTCATTTATTGGTGTGTTGAATATAAATTGATAGGGAAGAAGAAGAAAAGGAAAGAGAGAAGCCCAGCAATCAGCAATTCAAGTCCTAACCAGAGAGAAAAAAACGAATGGAATTTATCATTAAACTCTATCTACTGTTAGTTAATCAATCGTAATTGTTTGTGGCAACACACACAGAAAATATAGAAATGTAGAGAAAAAAAACTCTTTTCTCTCTTCTGTGTGTGATAAAAATGATGTTTAATCTATATTCTACATGTTATCAATATATCTAATATAATCTCTCCTATTAAATTGTGTTTTTATTACAGTGGCAATCAAATGAGAGATGAGATTATTATTGATCTACTTCTTTCCCTGTGAGATGAGACCAGGTATTTGATGGCAAAAAAGAAGCTAAAAAAGGAGGAAAAAGACTGAATCTCTTTTCAGTCTCCCATAAATGATTCGGAATCTAAAGAAAAGAATTGATGGAATCGAGTTAAACTAGTAATGGCCGTAATTGAAAGCATAATAATCAACATTTTTTTATCAAATCATTTAGTAACTCAAGCTTTCATCCTTTTTTTTTGGGTTTAGATCTTTTTCTTAAGTGTAAGTGTCCATTATATCTTTCCTTCTCTCACTCATTTCTTGACTTTTTTTCCCTGATATTAAGACTTTCTTCATCTAACCAAGCAAACCTTTTCTTTCCATTTCTCTTTCTTTCTCTCATCTTTGCTCTATTTACAAGGATTCCAGAGGCAAACAAAGGCAATATGTTTTTCTTTGATATAAAAGTCATAGCAAATAACAAACATCACTATCAACCAATGGAAGGAGAAAAAATTCAGGAAGACAAGGCAAAGGAGGAAAAGATTGTTAATGTGAAATGATGAAGGGAAAAACTCGAACAGCATCTTACGTCTTTCTCTCTGTCTTTCGGAAGATTTGTGGGAAACAAGAATGGTCGTGGTGGTGATGATGATGATGTGAAGGAGGATACATTGTATATATTCTTGGAAGAAAAGGGAAAAAAAGAGTAACAAATATTATCTGGTTTCTTTCTTGGACTCAAAAAAAAAGAACCTAGAAAAAGCAAGAAGTGAACAAGCGTCAAAATTGAGGAGTGCAAAGGTTTTAAAGCAATTTAATGGTGGCGATTTCAATTGAAAGACTCTGATGAAAAGTGAAATACAATGATAATGATAAACATAAAGATAAAGGAGGAAAGAAGGAATGAAACTATTAGTAACAAAAATAAATCAGTAACTAAAGTAATGAAGATGAGGGACAATTCTAGGAAATAATAACTTTGAGTGATTGTATAAGAGGTATACTCTTGTCAAGCAGTATTCAAAGAAATCAACAAATCTCACGAATCATCATCATCAACATCATCTCAATAGTAATCTAGAGGTATACTTTTTCAGAAGAAAACCCATGAATTCCTTTTTTTCTTCTTCTTCTTTCTGGTATAGCAAAATTTCCTTTTTCCTCCTAAAACATAATAAGGTTCAGTTAATTGTTATCAATTTGATATCGTTCTTGGCAAACGCTTTTCCTTTAGATTACTGTGTTAACCTTTCCCCATTGTCTTCTTTCATCACTCACTTTCTTCTTCTCTTTCTTTTTACTTCTTTCTTTCTGGGTTTCTTTCAAGACAAAGAGTCGAGTGTCATTAAAATAACATTTGCTTTTTTTACTTATACTTTTTTTTTCTTTCTTTCACATTTTCTTACAGATTTCATGTTATATCATTAATGAATGGCACCCATCAAGAGATGAAATCAAAGAAACTCCAAGTATTATGAAAGTTTGGAAACAATATGTGTATAATGTTAGCAGTTAATACTTAAGGAATGATTGGACTGATAAAAATAATTACATTAGGGCCTCCAGTTTGCTTGTATTTTATCTGCCATCTATTAATAATTAGCCTAATTATAGTCATCTTAGCCGGTAAGATTGAGCTGAACTTGATTAATTACACATTGGTAACAAAGATAACCTTGTAAACAAATCAAGTTTTGTATTTTTTGTTGTTGTTGTTTTCTTGCATGAATACATATAAAGTATTTGATGGACTATCAAAGAAACAATAAATGAGATTGCCTCCAAACTCAAGTGGAAACCCAATTTTGGCATCAACTAAACCAGTAAAGTTTTGAGTAAAACAATAGGGACCCCTCAATGATTGGGTTTAAACTGCTGACCTAAATTGACCTCTAGCTGCCCAATTATACTTCATCATCTCTATTAAGGTACATTTTTGTAAAAATTGTTTCATTGTTTATGTAAATTAGTAGTGATGGTGATAATGAATAAAAGTCAACGTTGCCTTGACTTGGCTTCATTTTCTGCTTTTTAGTGAAATAAAATGCCTTATAAAGTCTTTTATTTCGACTTTTTTCCCCATCATTCTCATCATCATCATCATGTTTACCAATTTTCCTTAAAGGTTCCAATATCAACCATCCAAGGGCAAAAGTGAGTTTTTTTCAGTGTTGATCGATAGAAATGATAAAAATGGGAAAGATGTGATGTTGGCGAAAGAGAGAAATAATAAAGAAAAGAGAGAGAAGATGAAAGAAGGCGAAAGAAAGGCAACAACCAAAATCTTCTCTTTTCTTCTCTCTTTTTATCTTCGTTTCTCCATTCAGAAGAAGAAGAAAGCAAAAAAAACTGATGTGGATTTTTTTTCGTCACTAAAGTTATTTCATTCTTATCTGCTTCTCTGAGTTTCACCTCCCAATAAGAATTGAACCAACAAGGTATCATGTTAATACGGTAAAGGAAAAGACGAAGAAGATGAAAAAAAAGGATGGAAACGAGAAGCCAAAAAGCAAGAGGAACCAAGAGGAAGACAAAGAGACCAGGATGAAGCAGTTGATGCCATTTTGATGATGTTGAAAGTTAACAGAGATTATCCACATGAAATATCAAAGAAATAGAAGCAAGCCTGTGTAAACCTTATAGTAGATATAATTGACATTGAGTTCAATCGATGATATCGAATTAAAGCTGTACAGAGAGGGGGAAAAGGAGAAAGATGAGAAGAGCAAGAAGAAAAGGAATAAGAGAGAGAGAGAAAAAAGATGAATAAGTAAAGAAAGAGAAAGAGAATGTTGTTGATCGATCTTAGATTAACCCATTTCAAGTGTGGATCCATTTCGTTGCCTTTCAACCTTCATGACAAACTTATGCTTACAATTTGCCTCAATCACAGATGAAAATTGTATTAAAAGACTATCTTTATCATTTACCATTCAACTGAATCTCCATTAATACTGGTTCAATATTGTTTACTTGTACGTAAACAATAACCATAATAATTTGAGTGCAATCAATTAGCTTCTCATTCAAAATATCTGTTTGTTTCATTTACTCCTTTCATTCTTGATAATCTTTTCTATCATTTCGCATAATTTTCATCTTTCAATCCTATTTGAACCGTTTTCTGTCTCTTCTTTATACCTTTTCATTTCCACCTCATAATCTTGCGAATCCTTGTTACTTTCATTTCATCTTTTCACATGATGTTCATCCAATGATCATCTTTAGTTGTGATGAACCAGAAAATTTCATCATAACTGAGTCCCAAATCTTTTCAAATTATCTTCTCAAGTTCATTTTCCATTACCTTCAAAAGTCTTGACATTTTGATTTTTTCCTCATCTTGTTGCTCTCCTCATCATTTTCATCCTCCTTTTCATCATCTTTACCATCATAGTGTTAACCCATTAGCTCTTGTTGATATTGTAAATGATGAAAACAATAAGTCATGAAATCACCTAATAAATTTATTATTTTCATTGTGGCACCAGAAAAACAGTTTGCTCTTTCCTTCAATCAATAATGTTGAAACTTATTGCGCTTTTGAGTCAATAACACCATTGAATTACATTTAGATTTTTACCTCCAGGCTTGATGAGCATGGAAAATTGAATTTACAATTATGATATCGTCCAATCTGGTTGATGATTGATAAAAATTGAGACCACACAAAAATTCCCATTGATTGATGTTACAACTGTTGATGAGTGGATATTGCTTAATGGTTCAGATAAATCCATGGTTGAATGGTTTATAAATGGTGAAAAATTAGGCGAATTAACCGGCAAATGAGAAATTTATCTTCATTCTCTGTTTTTTCTCATTCATTGAGGTTAAATATAAAAACTTGAGCTCAACAAATGTATATAATAATTTGAATTTTATCATGTTTTACATTTTATAGGAATCTATCAATAACTAGAGTATAACAAATGTAAAAGGAGCGATGAGATGTACATAATTTTGCTGTTTCCCGAATTAAACAAATGTGGACAATGCATAATGTGATAATTAAATGCTGGTCCATGTTATAGCTTTTGCTGATCTGTTTTACCAGGTGAAGGTTTGTGTTCAATAATTTTTACATAATTTGCAGGAACCAGGCCAGTTTTACCGTCAATTGCAGCTAATAGCCAATCACCTATTCTTGGTTGAACATCTTTGGGGGCAATTATAATCTTCTGTCCAACTGTAAGAGGTAATTCACCTTGAGCATTGGTCGTAAAGGCATACAGAGCTTTACCAATATAATGTTCATCTTCTCCCGTTAACCATTTTGTATTTACATGAGATAGTGATCTATTGTATCTTCGTATTAATGACCATATCATCCATGGTGCTCCTAAAACTAAACCGAAAAATATCAAAATTGGTAAAGATGATCTATTTGGAACATCTTTTCCGCTCAAAAATGGGTTAAAGGTTCCATCTGAGTTAAGATGTATATTTCCCGATGAAACTTGTCTCCAGGCATTTTCATGATCACTCAGACTATTGGAAGATATTAGGCCAAGATAGTATAATAGTTTCTTTATAAAAGATATTATTATGCGAACAACAGGCATTTGTTCAGTAAACTGATTCAGTTGATCTTTAAGAGATGATAAATGATGAGCAACTCCGAGTACAGCACGAAATGATGAATGTATAGCAAAATAAGTAGACTCTAACATCATGGCCACAGAAGAAACTGATTGAACAACTGATTCTAAAGATTGAAAGCTTTGTCCACAAGTTTCCTCAGCAATCCTGAGAAAATCATTACCAACCATATTTGATGGATAACCTCCATAACCACCATACCCTCCTCCGTAACCCCCATAACCACCATAACTACCGTAACTACCATATCCTCCATAGCCACCATAACCTCCAGGCATTCCAAATGCTCCAAAACGATTCAAATTGTTGTAACCATAGTTCATTGATGAGCCCCAAGGCCTTGAAACTGAATTGTGAAATGGACGAGCAGGTAATGGAGGAGGTCCATTTAAAGTTGTATCATTAGATCTATTGGTATTGCTTGATTCCATATTATTGTTGTTAATTACACTCTCATAAAAATGTCCACTTGTTAAAGGTGAAGCCTCATGTTGATTATCAAATAAAGGATCAGACACTGTAATATAAGAAGAGAAAATTAGAATAAATAGGAAAAAATCATCAAATAAATGTTATAGCCTGAAAATAGAGGTCAATCGGAAATGTTTGACGTTTCACTTATCGGAATGATTTGGAATAAGTTGTTCCAAGTGATTCTAATTTGTTTAATTTAAAATAACGTTACTTACTTGTTCATATTTAGCCCAAGAATTTAATTTCAAACCTTTAATTGTTTGACCAAAGCTAACACAAACTTGAAATAATTGAAACGAGGAAAAAACTGTCAACAAACCAAATTAAAGTACAGGTTGACATACAGCAACAAACGCTGTTTACATGAAAGTTGAATTTTTACGCGTTAGATGGCACTTACTGTCTTGGATTTTCACGATTCTCAAAAATTTTCCAATAAACTTCTCAAGTTGAGAATCTCAAGTTTAATGGTTCAGGTTTACCTTGATTGGTAAACAAGATTTGGTTTTGCACAAGAAACTAACATTTAAAAGTTGGTTTGTCTGGCAATGTGGTTTCATTAATATTGTCTTTCTAAGAATAATTTATTCTTATTGCTAAAAAGTGATTAAATTTACAACAGTCAGTACATAGATTTTGAGCTTGCCATGGTACAATAGTTTTGAACATTTTTTAAAAGGCACTGAATAAAAACAATTTTAGATACAAAATAAAACAATCAGCAAAAAAGTCATTGGATATTCAAATTGAATACAGTTTGAATAAAATTAGGAGTTGAAACCTTTTTCGTTAGCATGTTCTTGGTCATGTTTGTGAGATTTTAACCAAGTAACTAAACCTTGGTCACCATTGGACGAATCACCTCCGATGACAATATTTGGTAACTTTGGGACGGTTTCAGGTTCAATCGGCGGTGAATTTTCACTTTGGGATCCATTTGGTAGAGAGAGATTTCGGTTAGATGAGATTAACATTTCCATTTGTTTTTGCTTCTCATTTAATTGATTTTTTAATAAGAAATTAATTTGATTCTCGGCTGAAAGCAGCTTTTGCCATAAAGATATATTCTCTGTCCTAATTTTGTCATATTTTCTTCTTAATTGGCAAATTTCGTCTTCTTCATTTTCAGCCATCACAGGTGAGTCAGGCCTAAGATGTTGATGATTATGCAGGTCATGATGATGAGGTATATGAATAGCTGATTGGATTGAGGCTAAAGTTGATATTGCTGAAGTAGTTGACGGATCGACTCCAGGTCGATTATCAGGTGGACTTAATTCACGGCTGTCTCTTCTTGAATCACCAGCAAGGTTTTCACCCAGTTCTGGTGAAAGGATTGTTATGGCTGCTTGAACAGCTCCTCGAACCAACGAGTCTAAAGCAAACATCCAATGAGGTTTGATGTTATGACAACGAAGAACTCGATTGACTGCATCTTGAGCTAAAAGAAGAGCCAATTGGATTTGATTGATTCCATCAAATTCGAGATCCTCCTTAACATAAGCAATCGCTTGTGCCAACGGAGCTCTATCTTGTTCCGGAATAAAATCTCTGATTCCAGCCAACAACTGATGCAGGTGATCACTTGTCAATAGTAAACCTTGAATGTTTTGCTGAAGTAAGTGTAACCAAGTATCACACATTAGATGTGAATCGTCATTCAAAACTTGAACCAAAGTCGCTCTCCTCTCCGAGTCCTTTTTGAGTAAATAAAAGCCACCGGTGTCACCATCTCGAGGTGTTGTTGACGCACTTTCAATTGGTGGACTCATTATACTTCCACTATTTCGTCGAGCATAAGGGGCATCCTCAGAGCTGTGAAAATAAGGCGAAAAACTAGAAATTATAAGCTTATAATTTGAATTGACTTCAATTAATTGAATAAATTTTAAAAATCATTCGATCTTTCTCTCGGTCAACATGAATACGTTTAAAAAGGCAAGTTAAGGGCGATAAAAAATACGGTTAGTCGGTTAGAATCTTCGGTAAAATACGAGACTGCGATCGTAAATTAATAAGATTTTAAATACAGAGAAAGATTGAATCGTTATTATTAAAATTATTTGTTAAAATGTTTAAGTGAGTACCTTAATGAACTTTGGGAACCAGGAATAACAAGACGATCTAATTTGGGTCTCCGATTCTCTTTTTTTCCGCTACAATTTGTTTCATCCTTTAGTCTGTTTGTAAGGCAAATCAGGAGGTAGCGAAAATAAGATTATATATAAAATATTAGTAAATATTCGAAGTCATACTTTCATGCATTATTTAAAGCTTTTCAATAGCAAACGCATATTAATCTTGGATAGCAAATGAAAAACAAAAGGGATTAAATAACAAATTTATCAAAGATTAACCACTAATTGAAATGATAGTTTAAGTTTATGACAATCTTACAGGGAAAATATTCATTCGTTTACGCAATTAGAATAATCGAAACTCTTGCAAGTTTTGATGGTTTCGTTTCTCAGGAAAACAAAAATTGAAAGCTTATTTTTAGAAGTGTTACGACGATAGTAAAATGTATGGGAATGAGAAACGTAAAAGTCATTACAAAAGAATTGTAAAGTTACACTGAATAATTAGCATAAACACTTTTTTTCCCAAGATGAATGTTGATATATTTTTAGCTCTCATGGAGATAATTCATCAAGAATAATATCAATCATTATATTTTGAATAAGGTAAGGCCTCAAGATTAACATGAAAGCAAAACCACTTAACCTTCATCTGAATTATAATCAAGGATAAATTATGTGATCTTGATATGCAATTAATTGTTATTATAAGAGATTGTCAATGAGAAGTATTGTGGGTCACTGGTTTAAATACAAAATATTATGATTGATATTAATAATTGTAAATAAAATTAAATTAAATAAGTTGAAATCATAACAAAACAAGTTGTTATTTGACAGAATGTAATGTCTTTTCGTGATGTATTCACAAACGCAAGATTAAAATGATTTGATTGCGAAAAAAGCGAAATTCGATATTAAATATAAATCAATCATTTAAGGGATAAATTAAAATAAATAATTAAAAGATCAAGGTGGTTAGTGTTTGGATAAAACTTACTTGCATCGATATTTAAACGAGTCAAGAGTTGAATAATTGAAACTTACTTGCTTGTATCATCGGCACTGGCAAATCGATTTCTTGAGTCTGTATTTCGATCATCTCGAGGAAGATGTGATTCAGCGGGAACTGAGATGCTTCGATTAAAATCTAGGTGACTTTGTTTGTGAGGTGTTGGTGAGGATGACATGGGCATTGTTTTCTTCTTCCTAGTACCATGACCATGGTTTTCAGCAAGAAAAGGATGTTCTAATAGTTCAGCAGCAGTAGCTCGAGTATCAGGATTAGGATCAAAACATCGGAGTATAAATTCTTTGGCTTTTTCCGATAAAGATTGAGGAATCTCAGGATGTTCCTTGTGAAATCCTACTTTGAAGATAATTTCAGGACCAGAGATTCCATCTATTACTGGTGTCCGTCCAGTTGCCATTTCAACAACTGTACAACCCAATGACCAAATGTCTGCTGGTGCTCCATAACCTCGTTGTCCTTGATCAATCACTTCTGGTGCCATGTATTGAAAGGTTCCAGTAAAGGTTTCAGTGTTTGGATTGAGACCAGCCAAACGTTTGGAGGCCCCAAAGTCAGAGATCTTGATTATTCCCGAATATGTATTGACCAGTACATTGTCGCCTTTAATATCACGATGGACAATCTTTTGGTCATGTAAATATTTCAACCCTTGGAGCATTTGTTTCGTATAATAAGCCATTGTCGACTCATTTTCCTTTAAAGGTCCCCACTTAGAGCGCAACAGTTGAGATAAACTTCCACCAGGAACTCGTTCCATAAAAATTTTAAAAGTGCGGTTCTCATACATTGATCCTAAGTATTGAACAATGTTACGATGTCTTAACTGCGAATGAAGTTTAATCTCTTCGTGTAAAGGCTGGACCTCTCTGTGGTTGGATGAAACAAAGAAATTTCATTATTATAATAGTTGCTAAATTTCCATTAAGATTTGATGGATGTAATTAAGTGGCAGAATGAAAATTACAAACCCTTCATTCTTGACAGGTATTTCTTTTATGGCGAGTTCAATTTGTGTCCTTTTATCACGAGCGGCATAAACTTTACCGTAAGTTCCAGCGCCTAATACAATTGGTCTTCTTTGATCGTCTAAATCGTACTCATACTGTAATCAACAAAAATCAATAAGAAAGAATTAGCTATTTTTCATTGATTTATATCAAAATTCCTGGAGATTTTTTTGTCTTGTTTTCATAATCACCTGGAGAGGCTCATTGTCATGTTGAGCACCAAGATCCGCAATCAAGCCTTGATCACCCGTCATCTCAACAACCAATTGATGAAATCTAGCTCGTAATGCTTCTGAAGGGAAAAACATTTGGAAATCATCTGAGTTCAAATGAACATAAAGGAAAAGGCATCGTTCATCTCTTTTGTACAAACTAAACAATAAATGATAAAAATAAAAATAAAAAAATCATATTTAATTAAATTAGCTAGTTTTGTGCATGCTAAATCAGGATAATCAGAGTCAAACACCCTAGAATTGAAAGGTAGAATAAAAGTGAATTCAGATCTTGGATAGTGTCAGTGCTAGCATAATTTCCTGTACCTGTTGTAATACATGCATTATCTGCACCTGTATAAGTTCCGAATTCTTTGAACAATTCGACAAATCATTTTTTGTATTATTTTCTAATGTTTTGATTGACTACTGTACACCTTGAGAATTGTCAGTTTATCATTACGAATAGAAGATTACGAATAAACTGATATATTTTCTGGCACTTGAAAACTTGAGTGATTTATAAAAGCAATCAGTTACATTTTCAATAAGAGTATCACAAAACATACAAATTGCGTGTAAACTGGATGTTGCTTTGATAAAATTGAATAGCAATGTCTTCAGAGCGTATCGAGTTATACAATCAAAATTAAATTAAAATGTAATCAAAATACAAATGATATCAGAACAGTATTTCAAAGTGAAAACAATAACTTATAAACAGTCAATATCCGAAGTGAAATGTGAAAGTCAATTACTTTAAAAAATATTTATTAGTAACTATGGCCTCCAGCTATTACTTCCAATTATCATTAAAAATATAAAAACTTGGCCATCAAGATTCAATTTGTATAAATAAATAAGAAAGATAGAGAGATATTGATAGTACAAGTGAATGTCCAAGAAAAGATGGATAATCAATCATGTTGACTTGAATCATTCTAATGAAATGAATAGGATAGATTTCAGGTTTCCCGTATTAATGAAGCAAAAATTGTGAGAAGCAGCAGATTATATAAAAAAGTTTAAATAATAAATAACAATTGTAATCAACTAACTCAACAAATATCTATCTTGAGGTAAATAATGATATGCATTGTAATAGTGAGCTATTGAAATCACAAAATTGATAAGCATGAACTCAGTGATGCCAATAAATGATAACAAATTTGGCTAGTTTGTTCATGAGGTATAATAAATGAAAAATTTCCTTTCAATGTTCAGAGAGGAAGGAATCCTGCAAACGTTTAAATTGTTTGTTTATCAAAATAATAATAGTCGTAATTATGATTTAGACTATCAAATATACAAGATATGAAAGTGTTAGGATATCATTAGCAGGATGTTATTCAGTTAACTGTTTCTGAGAATTCATAAATTCAAGACATGAGAAGAGAAAGATATTTTAATTAGAAACATTGAGCAATTAATGAGTTGCCAAGGTTACTTTTTCTCACAAAATATCAAATCAAATTGAATGATTGAATAAAAAAAAACAAATTTTATGGGAAAGTGTCAGTTTGAGGCAACAAGAACAATAAAATTCATGCCAAAATTATCATAAATAAACAAAAAGGAATCAAAATCTACAATAATTGGCAAGCTTTGTGAGACTAATTTGTAATAATTGACAAGGTTTTCCTAGAAGCTAACTCAATAAATAATAAATTGGGAAAAATCAGAATAATTGAAGTAACTGCACAAATGAAACTGTGAAAACAAAATAAGTAATAAAAAACACTTACCTAACTCCTTTTATGGATGATGCTTCAATTAACCAATTATGTGGTCGACGACAGTCCATTTTTTTCATACATTCAAGACAAACATTAGTTATTTGAACTGATTTTTCATCAATATCTATATTAACTGTAACATAACTGGGCTGATAAGTTTTGGTTGGCTCTAAGACTAGAATAGGAAATTTAATTACACTAATTTCTTCCTCGGTTGCATCGATAAAGTATTCCATCCAAAAATTGAAAATATGTTCTTCCGGAGATCGCTCAGAGTCTTCAGGTTTTTTACGAAATCGATTGATAAGTCGAATGTTGCCAATAGTTGATTTTAAATACCAATTGGGAGGTTTCAATTTGAACATACATTCTGATGCTTGAATGGCTTTAGAATAATTTTCCGCCAAAACTGAAATCTCAAAAAATGTAGCAACATCCCAGTAATCTTGAAGAGATGTTAAACTACCTTTGCGACCAATCAGATTACTCAAAACCATACCAATTCTTTGTAATTCTTCAGAAGCTGCAAAATTGGCTCCATCGATGACTAGAAGAGTTGCCAAGTTGATACCAGCGTACTCATTTGGTTGAACTTCAAATCCTTTGCGATACCATTTGATTGCATTTTTTAAACTGTCTACATCACTGTATCCAGACTCGACAAATTTATCTTTATATATTCGCCCACAAAGACAAACAATATCAGGTACATGACCATCCGTTTGTTCAAGAGCCATGGTAATAAATTTTATTGCCTTTTCCCGGTCACCCTCTAAATTGCGACGATTGAGAGCAAATGCATAAAAATAGAGAAGAGTTGCATTTGAAGTTAATTTAAGGTGTGGAACTGATTGGAGATCGGTGAAAAGTTTAATCATTGCATCGTAATCTTGAATCTCTCGGAATGAGAGAAACATATTATAAGCAGTTTCTATGGACATTAAGTTGGGATCATCAAGACGTTTCCGTAAATTGTGTAAAGCTTCTCTTAATTTGTCTCCAGTATGATCATCCCGAGCTTTTCGTAAGTCACTGAGAAATTTTTCCTTCATATGTGCCCTTGAAATAGAAAAAGAAACAAAAATTTGAGAAAGATGTACAAGGTTATTATTTAAGGATCCTTTTAAATTTAATGGCAAGCATTTTAAATACACAGTTAATTTGGATTGGTTTTTTTTCACTTGAAAAAATTCCAATCATTTTAGCTTCACATGAAAATCCATTTCATATGCGTATGTGTAAAAGATATAATAAATTTATTCTAATTATTATCATAAATTAAATAATCAAGATAAAATTATGTTATACTTACTTTGTTTGAATTTCAATTTCTTGTAGAATCTTTGTTAACTTGGTGTGAAGTAAGATTTTTGTTTCAGATGATTGAATAATATTGCCGTTATTCAACATATTGATGACATTTGGCTCGGTAACAATACACTGTTTGTTTTCATTGACTCGATATGAAATTAATGAATAATTTGAGCAAGAAAGTCTCAATTGTAAGGCACCTTCGGTTGAATATTCGTTAAAAAGTAAAATGTTTTGTTTCATTCCAAAACTTTCACGTACTCCAAGTAGATACAGTAACGAATTTTGCTGCTCTTGGATACTCAAATCAATTATGGCCACATCAGCTCCGTGAAACTTTTCAACAGCAGACATTTCACCGAAATCTAATTTTTGAAATAAAATTAAATGAAGTGATGCATTAGCTGCATCACAGGCTTCCTGAATTTCTTCATAAGCAATTTTCCTTTGATACAAAGATGAAGAAGCCAGCGTCTAAAAAGTGTGAAAAGTAAGTTATTAATACATTGTACTGGATTCAATCAAGGTGAGTATTCTTACCAAATCCATGACACAGACAACTTCAACCCTTGGTCTCTGTTTTGATTCAAACGCGTCAGAAACCATTTTATCACTTGCTGATCTTTCAATAGCACTCATAATCACTAATTATTAGAAAGATGGAAACAGTAACAAGTGAAT